TGAGTTATGCAAAGGATTTCTTAAAAATAATCATTTTCTATTTAAGATAACCTTTCCAAAGAGGATTTTCAAATATATTCAGAAAAAAATTGGTGCCTTTGTTTCTATATATCATTGACTGTTTGTCTTTTGTTAGTGAAGATAGATGTGCTGTTTTGAGATTTCCTGTATAAAGCTGAAACTAAGGCTGTTACAATAGGTATTGCAAGATGAAGACCCTTTAATTACTTTTAAAAAGGAAGTTCATTTTTAATGCAGAAGGAAATCATTTCATATTTCAGTATTATTTTATTAGCTTAGTGAGCACTTAAAATTGGGCCAGTTGCTTCCAGGAACCATTTGTGACTGTAACATGTGCCAAACAGCCTTTTACAGAAGACAACATAAGAACAGTGTGGCCCTAATGCATCAGCACAGCATTTTGTAAGGATGACTCTGAAAAGAAAGTTTTCCTTTTTAATTATGCTTGTGTAAGAGTTTGCTTTTTCCTGAAAAGACTGCAAAAAGTTGCTATTTATCTTTGCTCAGTTATTAAATGCTTTCCTTATCTAAAAGTTGTAATGAATTTCTTTTTTTTAATTTTTACTTATTTTTTATTGTGAAAATACTGTACAGAGGGGTTACAATTAGATGGGCAAGATAATGAGTACATTTCTTAACAAGCATTGTAGCCTCCCTCCTCCTTTGTTTCCCCTTCCCATCCCTTCCTAGCCTCCCCCCCACTGCCCTCCCCAATCCCCCACCAAAGTTGTAAAGTTCGTTTTCGACCTGACAACTTGTACTTCTCATTGTTGCAATGGGAATTTCTTTTTATAATTTTATTGTTAAGATGCTGTACAGAGTGGTCACAGTTATGTGAGTAAGGCTATGAGTACATTGCTTGTCGATCACTGTTACCCCTGCCCTCCTTGTCCCATTATCCCTTCCCTTCCTCAGCTCCTACGCTTCTCCCCACCCCACCCAAAGTTATACGGTTCCTTTCCAATATACTGTCCTGTGGGTATCCTTGTTGCAATGGGTCATCCTGTGTCCTTGTTTCAGCATTTTGTTATTCTCCTTCCCATCCCCAGATTAAACATATGTATATACAAGATAGAAGGTACCAAAGTCAGGTACATGTGAGGAAGTTTTCTTCTAGGGTAAACTATATTGCTTAGGACTCGCCTCTACCTGCTTGAGCAGCTTTCTTTCCCTCACGGTCCACCAGTCTCTGATGCTTCCTTAACCCTCCCGTTTCTACTAACTTTACTTTGTAAAGTATGTTATATCCAATTTCGCTGAAGCTAGAATTTTGTTTAACATAGAGCTGAAATTATATTATTAACTAACGGGAACTGATTTAGAAAATGAACACACACACACACACACACACACACACACACACACACACACACACACACACACACACACACACACACACACATATATGTATATTATATACCAAATGGTACCAGTGAGGATTATCAGTCGTGCCTTAAAGGATTATTAGTAGTGCCTTAAAGGATATTTTTCTTTCTCATATATTTATATATATGATAGATATGACCTCTATATACATATACTCTCTATATGATCTATATGTATATATAGATCATGTATATATAGATAAATACATATATATCTATATATAGATCATATGTATTAGATATATAGAGAGACTGATATATAGAAAATATATAAATCATATATATTATATAATATATTAAGGCACTAATGATAATCTTCGCTGGTGCCATTTAATAAAAATGAGCTTATTTTATAAGTTATTTTCTGTTCGCACATAGTATAACTTCTTCTACATTCTTAAGTATTCTTCTACAACTCCACTGCATGTTTTCTATGTATGCATATGACACAATTTAGATGATAACTGTATGTAATGCTGTATTTATGAGTAATGTTTACATTTGTAGTTGCATGAATATAAAAATGCATATATATACTGTTATTATCTACTAAGGTGAATCTGTTGAAAGATCAACATTCATTTCTTTGGAGTATATGTTTTAAAAGAACCTTTGCATGTGAATGAGGTTGAGGTTTTTACAGAGGAAGAATAAATGACTTTATGGGGGGAAAATGGTCCCAAAGTATAAACTACAGCCAAGGGCAAAGTTTGTCTAGACTTTGCATATGGTATCACCTCGAATCTTCCTTCCTGTAAATTAATTTTCAAGGGATCTAGTATTTTAATTGAGAAGGGAATTCTAGAGAAAGCCCCTTACTATGCTTTTGGAGAAAAAGAGGGTAAGAAACTGGAAGAGAGCAGGATAAGTTAGTTCATTGTTTCCAGAATGCCAAACTATGTTGCAAAACATCATATGCCTAATAATTTCATAGATTAATTAAAATAATATATTTAAGGTTCATTACTAAGATGTGGGGGCAGGTATATACTAATTTATCTTATTGTCATAATAAACGCAAATTTTTTTCCAGTGGCAAAGAGCATGCCAGAGGTGTGCTGTGTGGTTTTGATGGTGAACGGAGATTGAAGGAGCTGTGGTTTCCTCATTTTCTGACTCTAGTGTAAACAGATTTATGATTGATAATACCAAAGCTTTGTTTTAAGAAAATTTCTTTATTAGTAATTGTATGAAGATATAAAAAGCAAAAATCAATTTCTGATTTATCATTGTCATATTGGAAATGACAAAACTGAAATATGAACTAGGACATCACTGAAATGAAAGTTTAATAGGAAATTTATGCATAGTTGCAATTTAGTAATCTGATAATATGAATAAAATAAAAAAACATTTTCGAGGAAGCATGGCACATATAACAATGTTTAGATTCTTATTAAAATCTAACATACATTACCAACATACATGCATTAATTGACAGAGTAACATTGGTATTTCAAGGACATTTATTTTTTCTTAAATTGAAGTTTTTCCTTTTTTTCTTAAATTCAAGTTTTTCCTTAAATTTAAGGTAGCCTATTTCTATTTTTTTCAAATGGACATTGATCAGTCAGTAGTAATTCTACAAAAAAGAAAATGTTCACAATGTACAAAAAAAGTATTTAATATGTAGTGTTAGGTTGATTAGTTACTTTTTCTCAGTTTGGTTTATCATTTATTAGTGGACATTCTAAGATTAAATATTCTTTAAATCTTAAATGTAAGTTTTAAGGAAAATGAAAAATATTTTCAAAATGCTTCACTTTCATTTTTTTCAACTGGGTAGGTAGTGTTATTTTAAGTAAAATTAAATATGTTTTCTTATGTCACATATTATTGAGGAATTATGCCTTAATCTTTTTTTTGGCAATGTCAGTCAGTTTGGGAATGAAGACATTTCTAGCCATATTTAAATCAGCAAACTAGAATCTAGATTTAGTTGGGTCTGTATTAAAATTTCCTAGTGGCATAGATAAGTACACACATTTTTATGACAGTTTATTTTAACTCTTCCATTTGGATCTGAAGAAAGAAATTTTTTCTTATGCTAGTAATCTTTGATTTTTAAATTATGCAGTGGAAAGGAATCAACATGTGAGAAAAGAATTGTTTACTTAAGGTAAAGCAGATCAGAAATAAACCATGTCATCCTTTTCAGTTCCTGTTTATGCAGCAGGAAACTTCTTTTTCAAAAATAACAAGATACATTTCTCCTGGAAAGCACTAGAAAAAAGAAAAGGATGGCTCTATATTCACACACACACACACACACACACATACACACACACACATACACACACCGCTTTTAGAATTTCTGTGTACATTGTTTTAGAGTCTATGATAGAAAAGTTTTCTTAGCTCTGTAGAGAAGACATAATATGACACACGTTTACCTGTTAGTAGATGTCCACTAAAAACTCAGAATGGTTAAGGAGAATGACCACTGTTCTTGTAAATCATTCTAGGTGTAAGAAGACTCTGTGACAATTTTAATTGTATTGGCTTTACATAATGTAACACAATTCCTTTATAGCTACTATCACTTCCCAAATTATAAATCTACATAATTCTTTAGCATTATTTAAAGAAAATCATCATTCTTTTAAATGAATAGTTGTTTTCAATTGGTCTTTAGACGTTAAATAGTTTATAATTCAGCCTCTAATCTTGTCTATACTACAATTTTAGCCTTATCTGCTACAGCCTTGAAAGATTTATATTGACCTTGATGTCTTCTTTGTATTGTGTCTTTTTGTTACAGTTACAAAGGTGAAAAATTCAAAGCGTATTATGTAAAATATGCCCTCTTGGCGTATTGATTATTTTAAGCTGCAGGCACTTAAGAAACAGCATATACAGGAAGCATCTCTGACCTCCCTTTCTCTTTCTACCTGAAAGAAGGCTATAAAATTTCCCCTAATAAATAGTCCCTCCCCACTGTGCCAGGAAGAGTATTCTTATCATTAGAAACTCTATATAGAATTCTAAGCTCTCTTAAGAACAACTAAGCACCTATCCAACTTGACATCCAAATTTATATGTCACCACTATAAAATGTCTTTTACATGTTTCAAAAATACTTTGAAAAAGGAAGCGTATTGCTCTGGTGTGAGGGAATTATCAGCTCTGCTCAGTGTTATAAAAATTTAATGATAATAGACTTAGTGAAATATCTAAACATTAAGTTGGGTATGAAAATAAATTAAGCGTGATGTATTCTTTCATTTTCATAAATTGCTTTTCCTAGGACTTAGTTTTATTTTATCAAGAATATTTAAGATTTTGACCAAGAAGTTTTAAAATTTTGTGTTTCATATTGCTTGATTATTAAGTTTCAATGATTAGTCGTCCCCATAATATACCTGTATTTAAAGGACAGCATTTGGGATTGAGCTAATGAATTCAAATAGACTGTTTCTTATGTGTAACATATGATTTGTAAACAATAGTCTAGATATAATACTGTACTTATTTTATTAAACCAGAATGTGTAAATGATGTATTTCAGAATGTAATCCAACACATGAGTTTATTTATTCAGCTCATTATCTGTGTGTTTGTATGTATGTTTGTGCCTGTGTGTATGCCTTACAGCTGTTATTTCAAGAAACCAAGAAGGGCCAGGAGAAATGGGAAAGGCTGTGCTGATTCCTAAAGATGACCAAGAGAAAATGAAAGAGCTGTTTAAAATCAATCAGTTTAACCTTATGGCCAGTGATTTGATTGCTCTTAACCGAAGTCTGCCGGATGTAAGATTAGAAGGGTAAGTTTACATGTGTCACATAATTCTATATTAAAAAATCACCATATGTCAAAATCTCAGAATCTCAACTCAGATCATACTGACTCTGGAACAGCATCTTCTGACAATTATGACATAAGCTAGAAATTATTGTGCACTTATGTCTTGATAAATAGGAAGTTTTTTTCTGACAGAGCTAACAGGCTTTTCTTCATGAGATCTTTGCTTTGCTTTCTATTGTCAAATAGAAAACACACTCTTTGATAGGTTATTTGCCTTCATGCACAGAATGTACTATATACTTTGATTAAAAGTGTACGCTGGGCTCTGCCAGCATAAGATAGCCAATTGCCTATAATTCTTTGACCTGCTGGAATTATTTATTATATATTCTAATAGTTTATACTGCTGTTGATAATTAAAATGCTCAGTTATACCAATGATGGAAAATATTTTCAATTAGAAATTATTTGCACGAAAAATGATGTTGAAAATTCAAGTTATATGCCAGGTGCCGGTGGATCATGCCTGTAATCCTAGCTACTCAGGAGGCTGAGATCTGAGGATTGCAATTCCTAGCCAGCCCAAGCAGGAAAGTCTGTCTGTAAGACTCTTATCTCCAGGGCTGGGAAGTTATCTCAGTGGTAGAGCGCTTGCTTTGCATGCCTGAGGCCCTGGGTTCGATTCCTCAGCACCACATAAGCAAAAAGAAAAAAGCCGGGTGTGGCGCTGTGGCTCAAGTGGTAGAGCGCTAGCCTTGAGCTGAAGAGCTGAGGGACAATGCCCAGGCCCAGAGTTCAGGCCCCATGACTGGACCCCCCCCCCAAAAAAAGACTCTTATCTCCAATTAACCACCAGGAAACTGGAAGTAGAGCTGTGGTTCAAATGGTAGAGCACTTGCCTTGAGCTGAAGAGTTGAAGGACAGCACCCAGGCCCAGAGTTCAAGCCCCATGACTGATCTAAAAAAAATCAAGTTATATGTGATTTATTATGTTATGCTCAAGATAGTTGGACATATAAAATAGATGTAATAAACTCAGAATAATTAATAGCTGCATATAGTCACTATGAAGCAGACTCTTGGCATTGCAAAATATATTTTCTGAGTTTATAAAATTCCAAAGTTTAAAAATAAACTTAAGGATAAATTTCCATGTAGATAGATATAGGTTTTCTCTAAGCATAACAAATGCATAATGAATTTAAAGAGCTTTCTAGCAATGATAAACTATATTTGCATTACTTTGTTCTGATATTAATGACATATGCTAAATGTATATGTTTTCTTTCCTAATTTATTTCAAATATGACCAAAACACTACTGACATACCAGCAATTCTTAGTGTTAGAAGATTCATTTGATAGCTAATTGGTTCCTCACATCACTGCATATTTTTATGATGTCTATTGCATGCAAACTACATGCTCTTTCAACATTGAATATTAACATTGTGTATTGTAAAGTTTGAATAAGTTTTCATATAATTCTGTATATATGTATACTTTTATTTATTTAAACACATTTAATTTTTAAAGATATAAATTATCATGTATTCAAAATAATTTAAAGCCATTATGTCTGCTTGTCTGTCTGTATGCATTTATTTATTTATTTAGTGATTCTTGGCTTTAAACTCAGGACTTGAGATAGCTAGTCAGGCATTATGCCACTTGTACCAGACCTGTAGCCCTAATTTTGAGCATTTTAGATGCTATGCTTATTATGTTACAATCTTGCATTTATTTTGTTGCTTTATATGGCATGATATGATACAATAGGTAAGTACAATACGTACTCAAGAAATTGATGTAAAGACCAACTTTAACTAAAGTCATTTGAATCTATCATAATGTTAATAAGTTAAACTTTTAATAGGTCTAAGATTGCCAAGGGAAGAGCAGTCTTGAAATGGTTGGAAGAAAAAAATGGAATCTTCATAAAGTAGACAATTAAAATATTTGTGTGCAGTTAATAAATCTTATTTTAAGAATCATTTAGCAGTTAAATACTTGAGTAATTAAGCCTTGAATTATGGAACAATTAAGTATTTAGGTGAACTAATTTGACTAGCACAAATAATTATAAAAATCAAATACTTGATTCTGAAGTTTGCAGTCTACAAACATAGCACTGTTGAAATAAGTAATTTTCAGGTTATTTTCCTGTTATACCACAGTGCATGTCCTTAGAAAGAATAGTAAAATACTGCACTTTCAATGAAATCATAGAATATATGAGGATGACTTCAAGCCCTCATGAGTTGACTCAATTGTGCATCTGCCTGTGAATAACTAATGTTGAAACCCCACAATGAGTCACATCTAAACTGCCTTTGAAAAGTTGAGACATGTGTTGATAATTAATTCATACAAACATTTATTTTTTTGCCATCTATTAGCCTGTTTGATTTTACTGTTGTATAGTTATATCTAAAAAAATATGAAGGCTAATAGGGCTAGAAATTATGCTCATACATTAGCACCCTAGGAATAAAAAAAGAGATATAGTAGACTTGGATATACGTAATTGTAGAGTTTGCCTAGCATGATAGAGGAGTCCTAGGTTGAATCAGAGCACCAACGAGAGGGAGTGAGGAGGGCGGGAGAGAAAGAGGAAGATGGAGAGTGTCAGAGGCCAAGATAGATACATAAGAACATGAGTTAGTTTGAGGACCATTGAAGATGTGAACAGAAGAAATATAAGTAAATTTCTGGTTTCCACCATGAGTACACTAGAAAAAAATTACTTGGAGACAATTTGACTGAAATGTTTAAAGCAAGCATCTTCTCTCTCTACCATTAGCAATTCATTGAATAGGAAGTTAACAGTAATCATTGAATGAATATTTATTAATATAGCTACAAGCAATTGAACCAAAATGCTAAAGTTCTTTGCATTTACTTATATTCAGACATTTAATAGCACTTCAAATACTGGTATTGAGTTATTTGAAGGTCATAATGCAACTAGCATTTAAATATATTTTATCAGGAAAAAATGAAAAAATAGGAAATTTATTTTAGCTGTTTATATCCTAGAAAAATAAGTGCCTCTTGCATATGCATGCTTGAAAACTGATAAAGAAAATAAGACTCTAGCAGTTATGTGTTATTAGTGGAAGAAGAGCTTTTGCATACAAATTTTGAATAAGTTGCTCTCAAGGGACAAATAATTTATTTACTGTATAAAATAGAAATAAACTATACTATGTAGTTTGGTTTGCCCAATCTCAAAAGATTACCTATCCGTTTATATCAATTACCTTTTCCATAAATTAAAGTTTGATAAATGTAGCATTAATTGTACAAAGGAGAAATGGAAAATGAGACTGTTAATTGGATTTCTGATCTCTGTTCCACATCTTTTCTTTTTAATTTGAGAATTACCACAACTTTCATAGGCAAAATTTTTGCCTGTGAAGATAATTGCAACTTCTGTAATATTGTAACTTACATTCCCATGTATGGAATTTCATCACCCAAATGTTAAGTGGCGTATAAAACATGTGAATGTATCTGTTTCACCAAAGTGATGCATAAAAGTTTTCTTTCTAATAAAAAGGATATATCTTGACATATTCTTAGAGCCACATGTCACTTAAGACAGAAAGCTGCCTTCCCATACTCTCTCTATGCAAGTTAATTTTCTAACATTTATTTTGTAATTATGTGTATATATATATATATATATATATATATCAAAATACATATAACACAAAAAGATCTTAGCTCTTTTGAAATGTATAAGTTAGAGAAGAGGACTATTGTGGGCATCATCAAATTTGCATACATCCATGTATCTTCGTGTCTATTTCTCAGTATATGACAATAAGGAAAGGAAAACAAGTTAATAAACAAGTTAGTAAGGCTTTCAAATAAAAGTATAAACAATAACTCTACCTATTTATATCTACTTTTTTCTTTTAATAATTTGTATTGTTATTGCGATTATATAAATTTCACAATATTGTGAGATAGTAATAGTTAAAGTCAAAAACACATTTGAACCTTCATGAGGAAAATTGTCATTATCATGGTCTATAAAGTTTGTGAATTCTGAGCTTTGACAATACAGCTATTTCTTCCACATCATGGATGTATGTACATTATTTTCATTTTGCTTATTGTTCAATGTTCCCTCTATCCCTCTAATTCTCTCTCTCCCATTGCTGCCCTTGAGTTGCTTAATTTGTTTTCATCACTGTCCAGTGCAACTTATGGGCCCCTCTGTTGTATGTTTCCCCTGTGTCCCTCTGATTCGGTGTCCTTCTTCAAGTTCCCCTCAGATGTGCACATATATACCATATATATGATCAACAGCATGGGATCATTTAGTAATGATACAACAAGATGAGTGAAGGTCCTTTGTTTTTGAGTTTTGTTACTTTATCATATCTCCTTACGTTTGTATTTAACATCCACATATCAGGGAGACCATGTGCCATTTATCTCTTTGCTTTTGGCTATGCTAGGTCTTTCGCTGTTCCATATGAACTTTTGAATTGTTTTCTCTATTTCATAAAGTACTTCATTGGAATTTTAATGGGAAGTGCATTGAATTTGCATATCAATTTTGGCAGTCTGGCCATTTTCACTATATTGATTCTGCCTATCCAAGAACCTGGAAGGTCTTTCCTCTATGATTTCTTCCTTTAAGCTTTTATAGTTTTCATTAAACAGCTCTTTACATCTTTGACAACGTTAATTCCTAAATACGTTACTTTTGTTGTTATTGTGAATGGAGTTGTTTCATTGATTTCCCTTTCTGCTTGTATGTTGTTATTGTACAGAAAGGCAACTGATTTTTGTGGGTTAATTTTGTATCCTGCTACTTTGCTGAAGTATTTGATAAGTTCTAAAAGATTGGGGGTGCGGGTTTTGGGATCATTGAGTTATAAAATCATGTCATCTGCAATATACAAATCACTTTAGTGTCTTTTTCTTAACTTATTGCTCTGGCTAAGAATTCCAGAACTGTATTGAAGAACAGTGGAGACAGTGGGCATCCTTGCCTTGTTCC